TCCGTTATTAATACATCGAATGTGATAAGAGCCAATCATAAATAAAAGTAAAGACGTGATTCTTCATATTTGATGATTTATTAGACGATAATTAAATATCAGAAACCCCATACCACATATTTTTTCTAAGATATAGAATTTGTTTATGAAGTTAGAGCTTATAAACTTAGAACGCGTTTAGAGTTAGAAGCTTAGTTTTGCATTAAGTCTGACAATTTTCGAGCATTGCGAATTATAATGGTCTCATCTTGACAAAACTTTAAATCAAAGCATTTTTGCCTGGATAATTTTTAATAAGAAAACGTTGAGTCTTTTTATGAATCAGTACAACAAAAAATTTTTTCCGTAAACATAAAGGAAACTCTAAAATCGAATGGCAAATTAAAGAGAGAACCACTATTGAAACAATTTTATTGGAACTTTTGACCTTTAATCTCATTACATAACATCATAAAGTCCATGAATGTAGAACTAAATTTACGAGGCTAATAAATTACTTTCTATCAACATATATTGTAGGATATATTTAATTTCAGCCAAAAAATAGAAAATTTGCGGAGCCGTAAAAATATTCGAAAAATGACAAGCCAGAATAGCATAAGCAATGAAATTACAATAACATATTAAAACATTTTAAAAAAATTATACAGTCATGAGAACAGCTACAAAAATTTAAGCACGAAAGAACAACCGTGAGACTTCAGCTTCAATTTGATAAAGTCGTCGAATTTTATAGGATTATCAAAAAACATATCACCTCTACATGACTCTTATATGTTTTATTTTATTACATCTTATTCTTAAACATACCGTTAACTTTAGAAAAGTAAATAAAATACGTACTACTCCAAGTTTTTCGCAATAATATTCAAAATCCTATAACTTAATTAATAATCATTTAATATCTTTGAAAATTTACTAAAATTTGTTATCAATTCGAACCAACAGAATATACGTATATGTTTAAATTTCTATAGTAACCTTTCAATTGTATTATGGTTTTTCTACTAAAATCATGAATGTTGTATATGGAGAAAGTGTAATTATTAAAAATGAAATTCGTACTATATAACAAATTATTAAAAAAAAAAAAGATTTATTTCACTTATTTTTCAATAATTTTTCTAAAATAAATGAACTCTTAACTATGTTCAGTTTTATGTTACATAATTAATTTTCATAAGTATCAACATAAATTTTCTAACCAAACCAATATTATTTTCTGAAAATTATACACAAATAGCAGTTATACATAATATACACATACGAGTACAACAGTAATATAGAGAAACACATTGGTGCTAAAACCAATAACTTGATTATTAATTATTATACATTTACTTCATATTAAGTACATATACAAACATACAAGGAAATTTTATTTTCTGTTTTTTTTTTCCTCAGAAAACTATAATGAAACCGAGCTGTCACTTATTTTAAGAATGTAGATCCTTATTTTCTTTTTGACTTTTTAATTTTTTAGCTTTTTTTGAAATATGTACATAATCTCAAGGATAAAATATAAATCTTGAAATTGCATATTTTAAGCTTTATTTACAGTTTATTAGAAGAATGTACTTTGTTACAAGAAAAAAAATTTCAATTTTTGCCTCTTAAATAATCTTGAAAGGTTAATTATACTTTTTTTTTTTGGAATTTACTAATTTAAGGTATAAGTAATTGCTATTTAAATTTTTAAAATACAGAGTGTTTATAAAGAGAACAAAATTTTGCTTACTTTCAAAAATGAGGTCGAAATAAAACATGGATTTTGTAGAAAAAATTTAAATATACTTGTTACAAATTTCGCGTTATGATTCTCAAGTTACTCTATAAGCAGTTTTGATTATCAGTTACTATTTCCCGCTTTTCCATTCGCATTCGCTTAATGCACTACACTAAAATTAAAAATATTAACCCTTTCTTGCTACAAAACAAAATATTTTAATTGAAACCTTTGATGACTGTGAAAGATTTATTGCAGTAGAAGATGTAAACTTTTGAAGATTACATAAAGGTTTATCACTAAATATCCTTTTCGGCAATTTGGGGTGCTTTTCGTCAATGAAGTTGAAATAAAATTTTATTGTCCAATAATTGGAAATCACGGTTTTGCAATATACGAGTTGTTTTAGCCACAAAGGTAGTGATATTAAACTTCTAGAAATCTAGACTGAGAATTATAATAATTTTCAATAACCAAATTTTCTTATATAACAGTTTTTTCTGTTAGTTTTTAATTCACGTCAGTCTTGTTGTTTACACAATAATTGAAAAATTAAAAATCTCTTAAAATACAAACAACCTGTATACCGTAATAATAATAATTATTGTTCACTTTCCTTATTAAAATAATATTGTTACTTAACTCAATTTTATTCTATGATTATAAGCTATAATCAAACAAACTTATACTGAATACTTAAAATTTTATACAATCTAACCAATACAATAATATGTAAGCTTGTATGTGATAATATCACTTAACATCATATTGTAATTTTTCAATGCCATATCAATTTATCAAAAAAAAAGAAAAAAAACAAAAGGAAGAAAATTAAAAGCCAAAAAGAAAGCAATCGAAAAGTATAGCATGGCGCAAAGTGTGGTACTATTGAATTTTTCTTTTTACATTGGAGAAGCAATTTTATTGCAATATCATGTATACTTAGTTGAAGCCCAACTATAATAATGTACATATAATCTGGTATGGGTATGCATATAGAAATAAATGCATTTAATATTATGTGAATAATTATAGTTATGTATGTATGTACATGTAGTTCTTGTTGAATTAATGATTGCAATGTGTTATTTTCATCTTTTTGATGTCTTGCGTCACATAATCGTCATTATAAATATCATCATTATCATCATCAGAATCATTATTATTTTATTATTATTATATTTTTTTAAGTATTTTTCAACTGGAAAATTTTTAGTTGCATTTTCCTTTCTAAAGTACAAGGATTACCTACGTACCTTCCTTGTATGTATATATACGATATGTATGTAATTATTTTATTCTTCATACATTCATTCTACAATTTAATATATGCATTTTTCTTTTACTTTTTATCACATTCCCGAGAAATTTTGCAAAAAAAAAGACTGTAGTTTAATTTTATCTGTCTGTCTGTTTACAAGATATAGGAACAAACATTAAGATAAAAGCTACAGTTTTGTAAACAAATTAATTTTATAATGTAAAAATTATAATTGTAAAATAAAACTTTTACATATCTTCAAGTTTTTTAAAGTTATTAAGACTTCCAACTCATATAATTTTGCATACATACTCTTAAAAGGTCATAGGACTTGAGACCATTGGTGGGTGTCCTCAGTGGTCACTCTCATACCCACTGCCCCTCCATGATTCATCTGAAAAGAATGGGCACGGTGGAAGGCGAGGCCTGCCGTTTTTGTCTAGAAGAGGACGAAACGATGGAACACTTATTTTGTGAATGCGAGGTGGTGGCTGAGATGCTTTGGAAGGGGCTTAGGAATCTCAATGGAGGTCTCGCGGCTTGAGATGGTTGCTATACTATAATTTTTCAGGGACCTAAATATACCTATCCCTCCAGCACAAAGAATAACTATTCGATAAAGCATCATTTCAAACAAAAAATCTTGACTTAAAGATTAAACGAAAATGCGCTATTCTACTATACATGAGTTTGGTCGATTTAATTTTTCATTTTATAGTTGCATAGTTAACACGTCATGATATGCAAGTAGTGAAAAATTCACTAATTTTTTTTTTCATGAAAATCTTTTTAAAAATAATTATACATCAGCAATTTTTTTTTTATTTTCACATACACAATACATACACATATAATATCCTTTCAAGTTGAATAATAGCATTAAATTATAAAGAAAATTATTTTTAATTTATGATAATATTGCATTCTTATAATTTTTTTTTTGTGATCAACATTACACAGCATACCATTACAATGCACAGGATATTTATTTTAAGAATTTTTAATAAAATGTTGCTATAGAAAAAAAATGTCATTAAATATTTTTTATTTAGCTGATTTTGGCTTTTTCTATGATGGGTTTAATAGGTTAATAGTATAATACTAAGTATATTATAAAGTAATTAAATTAGAAATTTAAATAAAAGGACTCATAGGTACTTAAGGACTTTAAGTTTTTGTCTACATAATGATTTTTGAAAATTTTGCATATGTACTTATGTAAGCATAACATTTGAAATTTTTATGTTTTTTATACATATTATTATTTAAAATTTATTAAGTTAGCTTTTATGAAAAAAAGTTTTTTTTTTTTAATTTAAGAAACTTAACCTAGCTCTTAATAAACTGGTTTATACTTTTTTATAATTTCACTTAGGATACATGATTCGTTTAGCAATATGAAAATAAGCAAGTTATACAATAATAGAAATTTAATTGCCTAAGCTATTACTAAATTATTTACTGTGTCTATCATATTATTGCTTTTAAAGAACAATCACTTTTACATATCGTTTTAAAATATAATATTATGTACAACAAATATAACAACTCTCATGTGTTTTTTCGAAAAATCGAATACTAAAATTATTTGAATAAGCATTTTTAATTAATTGATCTTAGAAGATTATATAATACCAGTAGAAATAAAAATGGTGGAATAAGCAGACCTGTTAACAAACATTTAAATTTAAATTGCTAGTATGGTACTAGTATTTGTTTTAATAAGGGCTTGCAAGAAAATTCTTAACGTTAAAATGTGATGTCTGTTATATTATAAATCTTATTTACTTGGATTTAAATTTTCCAATAATCAATTCCCAATAGTTTGTTGATACACCATAAACATGCCACTTTATTCAAGAATTTAATTCAAGAAATGTTCTTTAATGTAACACACGGACACCTAAAAAGATACAAGTTCATACATATACATCAATTATTATTTGTTTTTAAAAATAAAATTCATTTTAATAAAATATGTAGTTAATAATACAAAAAAAAATTTTTTTTTAGTTGAATCTGGCGAAACTGGTAATGGTGAAAATCATGTACCAGAAACGACAAGAAAAAAATTCCATGATATTCAAGAAGATAATTTTATTACCAGAGAATTTGCCTTAAGACTCGATATGTCATGTGTTCAAGCACGTGTTAAAGCACCAAATATAGATAATGGACAAGTTGTTAAATATGACAGGTAAATTTTTAAAATAATATATGTAATATATTTTTTTAATAAGTATAAGAAAATAATTAAAACGATTTTTTGATAAATTATTAATGCCCAATGAATTTTATTAATTCTTGTTTTAATAGACGTAAAAAGGGCGGACAACTTTTCTTAGTTGCATTCTACAGATGTAATAATAATTATGATTTCGAAGATCCAGAAATAAATGCTGTTTATTGTAGTAAGAAAAATTGGATTGGAGAACATCCAACATGTGTTTCATCAAATGGTGATGATTATAATGATGGAGATGGTAAGTACATTACAAAATTTCTATTAACAATTAGCTATATTGATTAGAATGAAAAAATTAGATTTAAGTTTTCCAACAATTTAACCAAGCAATCAAGTGTAAAACCTTATTTGAAATAACTTGATTTCGTCGGCAATCAGGTGGATATTATCAATATAATATTTAAAAAGTTTCGAATTTGTATTTTCGAAACATTCTTAATCTTCAGTTATATTCCGAATTCAAAATTGTTTAGTTCCGAACACCAAATTTTCTTTCGTGAAAAAATACTTTCTTACCTTGCATGCTATCTTTTAAATTTTTTGATGTTGAAGGAGGATGTTATGAAGAGCACAATCAATGATACAAAACGCATAAAACCAACTAAATTAAACGCTTTTTCGAAAATTCAATATTTAATTTATTTAATAATAAATATAATGGTTTTTTCCATGTGTTAATTTTGTTTATTAACAACTATAATGATGAAAATTTAAGCTCTTTTATATGTGCGTCTGTGTCCATGAAAATTTTTTAATAATCATTTTAAACCGTTAATTAAATATTAATAATTTTAAAGTCGATTCGTAAGCTTATAAACGTTATAGGCATTCATAAATTAATAACGTATTTTTCAATTTTTCTATTATGTATTTTTTTTTTCAATTCTATTGTATTTTCCTGATTTATCGGATTTGTATACGGTTATATAATAAACGGGATCTATAAAAAATTTCAACTTAATTACTAAATCTCCTTTTCAATTGTTTTCATTAATTAAAAATATTAAATAAAATATACATATTGTTTTTTTTTTTTTAATTTTTTTTTTTGTATAAATAATGATTTTTTTTTTTTAATAAAATTAAAAACCTATAAATTATTAATTATTATTGACTTTATATAAAATTTTAATTGAGAAAAATAATAATAATAAATTTTTTCTGTCAAAATGAACCCATTAAATTAAGTGACAATCAGGATGTTTACAAGTTGTATTAAAATATCATTAATAATGCATATTAAAATAAAATTGAAAACACAAAACAAAAAATCATGCACATATTTGTACATACGAATAATAATAATATGAAACAAGAAAAATTCGAATGGTTGCAAAAAATAAAACCGAAAAAAAAAAAACCAATGAACAGAAGAAAATATTTTTTTTTTTTATTATTAAAATATATTTCACAAGAATTAATAAATCAGAAAAATTAAAATATCGAGAGAAAACTATAAATAAAAATATTGCCCATTTATTTTATTAAAATTATAATGAATGTCAAAAATTAATTTTCCGCTCGGTTTCGAAATAAAAATTTTGTGGGAAATGACAACAAGTAGAACAAATTGAAGAAAAAAAAACTTAAAAAGTAAAAAAACAAAAAAAAAAACAAAATTGTCAAAATGCTATTTATTCGATTAAATTTATTTTGAAAAAGTTTTTAAAATCAACCATATTAAATTTCATTGAAAAATGTATATATAAATTTCTATTTCGTTCCAAAATAAATTAAGTAATCAAAGTATGTTAATCATGTAAAATTTGACAATTGACAAAATTTTAAAAGGATAAAAAGAATAAAATCTGTCATTTATTATGTCAACAATTGTTTAAAGATGTCATTTTACCGTTTATTTTCATTAAAAATGTCAACTTGAAATTTAAATAATTTTTATTAAATTTTCTAATTAAATTTAAAATTTTCAGATTACATGAATGTTTTTTGTTTTTAAAAAAAAATACAATTTAAAGTGAAATGATTTCAGTTTTAAATTTTTAATGCAGTTGAAGAAGCATTTTCATTTATTGAAATAAAATTTTTAATATAAAATTTTGCTTCTGTTAAAAGACTAGCTTCTTCTTTTAATAGATTATGAATTGCGTTTCATAATTTCCAACATTCATTTATGTAAGTAACTTCAATAGATTTTCCGTGAAAATTTAGATTATCCAACTAAACTTGGAAGTGTTTCAAGATTTTATATGTAAAAAATAAATAAAACAATTATGTAAAATATGTTGTTTTACTATGTATGCCGCTATTCTAACCAGTAAAATAATTCCATAAGACCGCGAAGACGTAAGACTGTTTTATTAGACAAACATTCAAAATGAATGAATACATTGTATTATCTATAGTCAAAACAGACACATAAATTTTTCCGTGAACTTTAAGAGCGGTGTGACGAGATTTAATGCATATATACGAAATGAGCTCGAAATGCGTTGCAAAAACTTCGTATTTAATAATTTTAAGTTAACTTATTATTCTGTAATATATCTGAAACTTGATTTTTTCTGTAATATTATGATGAATAGTTTTTCCAAAACATTTAATTTGATATAAAAATAATTTTATTTCTCCTTGAAAAACCATCACATTTTTTAATTATAATTTAAAATTTTTGTCAAATTTTAATAATAAACTGCAATTTTTTTTTCATTTCTCTCAGTTTGTTTTACGAATTCTGAGTAAAGCAAAGATGGTCTATATAATACAAAATTCAGTATAAAAAAATTTACATTTTTGTCAATTCTTTTCCCAAAATTTATGTAAAATAAGTTCATACATAGTTATTTATAATTAATTAAATATTACGAAAAAATCAGAAACGAAAAATTTCTTTATTCATTATAAATATGTACATACGACATTGCAATCGCTTTTTGCCCCAAAAAACCGCTGCTATCGCCATTTTCAATCAAATGGAAACCAATAATTAAATAAAAACCTCAATATATATTTTTTTTTATCTATTTTACTCAATATACATAAGTAGTATACACATAACCATGCTCCACATTTTGTATCATTATGGAAATGATTGCATATAAAAGTTTTTATTTTATATTATGCAATATTATTATGCAACATGTTGTATTTTAATTAAATTTGTCTTAATTCTACATTATGGGAATAAAGTAGACATTTAATTACAAAAATGAATATTTACATTGATTGTTAATTTTAGATTTGTTTCTACTCTAAATTAAATTCAATAAAGATATGCATATACATATTAATTTGATTTACAAAATAACGTTTATACAGGCTGGAAAGTATATGAACAACTTATTATAAACTCATTTTTATAAATACAAATACCTTAAAATAGGACACAAACTATACATATAATGTAATCGGTACGAAAATGAAAATTACAAATTTGAAATTTTTATATCAAAATTACTTATAAATGTTTTGGTAGTTTTCAATAAAAGAGCCTGCACTTTTGATATTTTATTCCATAATTTAAAAGCCTTAATTTAAAAAGTTACAGCTCTTTTTATTTCTTAAAACATATTGAACTCTTTCATTCTTTTGCAATTTTCTCATTTCATCTGCATTTCTTAGCCAATACTCGCCAAATATTCGATCTCTTTAAAATTCAATATTATCAGTATACTAAATTTTTCCAATTGAAAAAAAAATTTTTTACAATTCTGCTAAACCAACTTGAAAATTACTCATATGAAAATACATTAAATGAGGGGTGCAATTATTTGGGTTGATTATCATGTTCAATTTCAGCGTGATCTTTGGTTCTCAGTTTAACGTAAATCTTATCAGTTTAACGTAGTCTTATATAAATTGTAGATTTCGAAACAAAACTGCAATCCTTTTCCCAAACTTCTTTCATTTTATAAATTCTCTCAAAATGTTACACTCACGAACAAACATTGTGAATTATTTAAATTCAAACTCATTTAGTTATTAAGTAATTTTTTATAAATACCCAATACTTTTAGAACTTGATTGAACCTCATATCAAAAAATAAGTTAATAAAAATTTCTAAAAACAATCTCACTTTTAAGTTCTTCATAAATACCACAATATAAGTCATTTTTAAAATGTTATTACACTATTCTTAGCTTATTCAGAGAACATTTCTTAATTCTTTAAAATCCCCATTAAGTGTCATGCCAATACATAGTATGATATAATATATTTAGAAATGTTATATTTGTAAGTCTGTGCAAAATTAAATATGAAATATTGAAATTCAAAATATTCAAGAATAATAAATCGAATCCATATTTTTAATAAAAGTGGAATTTCTTTTTCTTTTTTATCGGGTTATTGGAAATTTTTTATTGCATTTTTGATTTTCATAAGAAAATAAATTCAATACACATAATACAGATTATTATGTATTGGCATTGAAGAATAATTTTTTATCATTTCTACTTCAATATCTTTAATATAGAAGCGCACAAAAAAAAATATATATATATATTATATAATTCTTCTTTACAACTGAACAACATTTGATCTAGATAGTTTTTCTGGATAAAAATTCAATCATATTTATTAGATTTTATTTTTATTTTCATTTTCTTCAATTTCTACTTTTCAGATTACGATGAGGAAGAAGAAGAAGAGAATGGTAATGGTAATGGAAATGATAATGGAAATGGTAATGGAAATGGTCATCATAATGTGGATGAAAATGGTCATCATAATGGTAGAGGAACTCATCATTATCATGAAAAAGAAACAGAAAATAGAATAGAAACAGAAAATTATGATGAAAATCATTCGCATGGAAGTCAAACTACACAAATTCTAGAAACTGTTACTGTTGCACATTCTCCACAAATAGATAACGTTGATAATGAAATACTTAATTATGAAAGAAAAAATTTTGATGAATATACTAATTCAGAAAATATACATGAACCACAACCATTCAATGAGACTTGTGATGAATATCGTGGCGGTTGTGATCACAATTGTAAACGAGTACAAACTGGTAATTCAGATAATCCTGTTCAAATTGTATGTTCTTGTTTCCAAGGATATTATTTAAATACTGAAGATATGAAACGATGCCATGGTAAGTAAAGAAAATTTATTGAAAATATTTTATTAAAATATTTTAAAGAAAATTAATTAAAATATGAATATATCTACAGAATTCATAGAAAATATTTTTTTCGTCAAAAAGCTCTTTACCTATATATTATACATTTATATAACATGTTATCAATCAACTTTTTACCTATAAACAAAATTTGATTTCTTGAACAAGTATCAGAAAGTTATTCAAAAATCTTACATTTTTACAATTACATTACGATTTATCTTCTTAATTACAATTTACCTTATAAATGATCCCAGCATTCACTGCTTAAAACACCATTTCAAAGTCAATATTGTAAGATAGTGACACTAAAATTTTAACTCTGAATACTAAACGTTACTTCCATGTCCTATGTTCCCGAAATTCCGACAAATTTATTTTATTTGCAATATACATAGGTAGATACTTATATTATATGCGACTTGGTCAACAGCTGTAAATATCTCATACATTTTGAATCTTATATACGTATACACATAAGTACATAATAAAAAAAGAGGAATCTGAAAATAAAATTATTAAATTTTTGCTTAACCACCAAAATGACATAAAATTTAAGAGCCTACAATAAATATATCATAGAAAAATAGAGGTGAATGTATAAAAAAAATCTAAGAAAATGGGCAGTAGGAATAGGAATGAAAAATCTTTGTTCCATATAAAATTCTTCTTTTTTTGAATTCAACACATTTTTTAATTTTTATAATAAAATTTTTATAGAATTTAATAATCCAATAAAAAATTAAAATATGTACAATATACTTACATAGATATTTAAAGCATTATAATTGGGTCAAACCAATGGTTTGTAAAATAGCACTCTTCCCTTCAACAAGTAAAATACTGTTTCCAAAATAATCTGCATTACTAAAAATACTTTCATTCATACACAAAAATATTCCCAAGATTACCTACATACATATATATACATTTAGAATGAAGCAAAAAAACATTGAACCACTTAGGTGTTAACATAATGCTCGAATTCAAGAGTTGATAGAGTCAGTTAAGAAAAATAATTATTTTTTGATATTGCATTTAAAGGAATTCGGAAAAGCTTGCAGTTTTGGAAATATGTACATAAGTGTATGGTACCGAAAATTCTTATTTTACAAATTTCTTTATTTTTTAGAGGAGATAACTTGAAAGGAGCTGAAGGTGCAATAACGAATTGAGGTATAAAAGATTTGTATCAAAAATGTTCTTAGCTGAAATGAGTTTCTAACGAGATTTTCTAAGTTTCCAACGTCTCTAAAGAGATTCTTCTCTTTATTATACGAAATTTTATGTTTCAATCTTCAAGGGTGTATATCTTTTGTAAGCATGTCCACAAAAATTATGCTATGTGTGTAAACTTACATAATTACTTCAATATGAGTTAAAATAGTACTAAGTCACACAGATTAAATCTAGGTACATGTTTAGATGACTACTTTTGAAATTTTATTCAGATGAGTCTAATATATTTTTAAGCTTATGTATATGTTCAAACTACTTAGATTTTATTGTGTATACATACAAAATTGGCACTTTATGCATTATATAAAATTGTATGGGTATATTGAAACTTGTTCGCTATAATTATCCTCTTTTGGATAAAAGAATATCTAGTTAAAATGAAAGTCTAGTTATTATCTTCAAATTTAAATATTTAACTTACCAAACATTGAAGTAGGCGCCATCATATTCGCATACACTCAGATAAGTAGTCTACAAGAATCTTAATTAACTATTCTTCAATTCATATGCCTTTGTACAAATAAAAACCTCCAAAATATATTGAAGACCTTTACAATTCAAGTGTCTTTTTAGATTTTATCCCGAACTTCAATATAAAAATTACAATAATTCCTGTTATAAAATGTTGTTTGTACTTCCATGTGCAAATGCTGATGTAAAATAATATCCCTCCCTTTTTTTTCGTATGTATATATGTATGTATGTACCTACTTAAATATATACGTAGGTTCCTATTTATTTCTTTATTAAATATTTTGAATTTTTGCTTGATTATAAATATTTTCAGTTTTTCTTTTTAATGAAAAAGATGACAATCAAAAAATTTTTACATATTCATAAAAAATATTGCTGTCCATCAAAATCTAATTTGAATTTCATCACATGATCACATTCTTGTGCACTTGTACTTTTTTTCATTGTATTAAATGTAATAACTTTATGTTGCTTGAGTTGCACAACAAAAACCAAAAAAAAAAATATTCAAAAAAGCTGTCTTTCATTTTGCGGCTATAAAAGTTATTTTTTAATAATTTCTGTTGCTTCATCTTTTCCATTGTTTTGTTTGATGTTTCATTTCATATTTTGAAATTAAAAATAAATCCACTTTTGACATATATTTCATCCAAAATACTTAAATAGAAATTTTATTGCATATTTTATAATTTAGAATTTCTAGACCCAATAAGCAATTTACCCGAAATGTATGCTCATACTTAACAGTTAACGGCTTTGGTTGAACTGTTTCAAAAGTATCGCTTTGGAATTTTTTTATACTCCACACAGCTTAGTGATAGTACTGCCGTTTACTGAAATGTTGGACTTCGTTTTCTAATTCTGAAAGTTACCCAAAATAATAACGAAAAAACTTATACCAACAGACGTATAATATCGATATTATGATATTCTTCTCTATATTAGCGTGATTACTCTAGATGTGTGCCAGCTGTTATTTCAGTCTTGAATTTTCCAGCAATTACTTCAACTTGAAATATCAGTGTCCGTATATACTGTATAGATTGAAAAAATATTATTTGAAGTCGACATAATAAAATTGTTAGCTTGACTTGAAAGTCGACTATATGAACGCGAATTAAGATATTTAAAATCGCAAATTAATATATAACGCTAGTCAGTTACCTTTAAACGCAAGTCGATTTTAAATAATATTTTTTTAATCTAAACACTATATACGCAGACTGAAATTTGAAGTTAAGTATTCGTTCCGCCATATGAACTTTTTATATTGTAGTTTATAAAAGCAATTTTGTCCGGCAGAGTACTCTGGTGACAAATATATCAACAATTTATTCAGTTTGAAGTTTTCAAAATTTAATTATTTGGTGTATTTAATTAATTCCAAAATAAGTCGGTAGGGAATATCTTTATAATCAGATTTTTAAAATTTTGTTTAAAAACCTATAACAAAAAAATTTAAATACCACGTTTGTGCCTGTCTTACCACGTTTTTGCAGGTTTTTAATATTATAATACTTAAGACATTGTAGTTTTGATATTTTGGTCAATATGTCTGTCAGTAGTATTATGGATCTATGGTGGTGAAAAGTTTATTAGGCAGAATTCCCACGAATTTTGCACATAATATTAAAATTAATTTACTTTAAAAATAAATATTTATATTAAATATTTATATTAAATACATTAACTACTGCCTTGTTTGCATATCTTTAGTTTTGAGAGTAATGTAAACACAAGCTTTCAAATAAATTCAATTTAAACAATATTGACGCACCTCAATTGACGCATTCATGTCATAGTAATATTTGACTCTGATTTAAAAAAAAAAAACTTGAAATGAAAGATATTTTTGATCCATTTTTGACTGTCATCCATTAACTCTTGCGTTTTCTGATTTGGAAAAATTTATAACAGTGTTTTTTATGTTGATTTCAAAATGTGAATAGTATCAGATTGAAAACCAGTACTATATTTACCATTGCTCGTAAAATTTTTTATTTTGACATTAATTATCTGATGGTTCTGTCACTATAGTAAGAAATTTTAAATCCGTTCAGACACCTTACTTAAATGCTCTTATATTACTAAATTCCCTCTATGAATTTTCAACTCGATATTTGAAATTTTAGCAATAATCTTAACAAAACCGAAAACTGAAGTTAATAAAACTGAACTAATTATAAATACTTATTCTAAGTACAAAGAAATATCTTAACTTGAATTGTGGATAGACAAGAATTAGTTCATATCCATTTTACTAGCGTCTTAACTTTAACTATTTGCAAGTTTTCAATTTTTGTTTTGGTAATTTTATTGCATAGTTTACCAGTTAAGACGTTATTCGGGAAGTATAATTGCAATTATATTCTCTTAATTGTTTCCCGGGATTTTATTGAATAAAATTTAATTTTTTTTTTATAATTTTTACAGCAACATAATAAATATGTGCATATACTGTAATATTTTATGTTATTAGTTCCAAAATAAAATTTTTGTCAGAAACAAATTATGAAAACTTGTTTGTATTTTTTGTTCTCAAAATTTTATTATGGTTGCCCAAAAAATAAAATGTTTATTTCGTTTAAGAACATTCCACAAAACTGCTCAAATATTTGATCTGCATAACAGTAAAGCCCTAAATTAATTCAAATTCCATACCAATGTCATATTGAAATAAAATTTTCTGAAAGTAATTGCTGAACCTTATGACATTTAAAGAGGATAACGAAGGCTATAGAGCAAAACATCGAAACTATCGATGATTTTTAAAGTCGATGTGAATCGATGACTTTTAAAGTCGATGTAACACTATCGTTAAATAAACTGTTTAAAACTTTGTTAAAGTACCATATGTATAAAAAATACATATTTTAATTGGGAAGCTTTGGATGAAAAGAAAGTTGCAAATACATATTCTATTATTTGTTTTGGATTCCGTTACAATATTTTTTTACACATATTTTAATAATAAACTGGTTTGGATGAAATCATTCCATATTGCGACATCAGATTACACGTTTGTAAAACTTGTAATTATGTTGAGTTAGAGAGTTTTGTGTAAATTATGTTTAGGTTGAGCTGTGAAATTGCAATTCCATGGAATAAAAATAATAAATTTTATCCAAGTTTTAATGAAGTTTCCAGTTAATATAAGATAATTTATGATGGCGATTATTTAAATAAGCATTAAAATTGAAATAATTGAAGGCAAGTAAATAAGTAAGCGGGACTTAATTAAAAGTACAGAAGTAACGGGAATAAATTCATACATATTTTTATAAGTAATTATTTTTACAAAACTGTCAATTAATAAACAACGATAATTGTGTAAGAAATAATTGTGAAAAAGATTCTTTTATAAATTGGTGCGAAGCAATACTTTATAAAATACTGTATGAATTAAATATGTACATTAGAAAAGGCGGAAAATCCTATATGTTCTGATGATTGAAGTGCAGGAAAGTAACGCTGAGGCCACTAAGCACTGACGAACGAAATCCACATATTTATGTGGTTTATGCCAACCATCAATACAATATGTAAATAAACTCGCCCAGTAAAATATAATTAGTAAAATAACTCACGGTCCTCGAGGTTACACGAATTGTATATAGAAGGGATTATAAATATAATTTATGCATTTATTCAAATTGTGTAGGTAGATAATATGTATTTAGTAAATATAATCTTTTTTGCTAATCTGCCTTTAATTTTTCAGTTTGCACAATGTTGCTGATTAATAATGAGTGAATACCTATATAGTTGTATACGAACGTCTTCTTCTCTTACAATTCCATGATTTATTCTCATCATTTATGTGAACATTATTAAGAGCAACACAATAGTTGTTATATATTAAATAAACTGATGGTTCTGTCAAAAGAAGACAAAATATTCTTCAATAAAATAAAATATTGTAATGGATAAATATTGACAAAAAAAAAACAAGGAAGATAGAAGACGATGCAAATAAAAATAAATGGCATTACGTGTGAAAAAATCGACAGACACTTAAATTGTTTTACAAAATTTATAGTAGGTATTTTAGTCTTAAAACTAGAAAATACTTCAAGTATCTTACATATGTATAATATAAGTAGGTAATACCTATGTACCTAATCCTAAAACATGGTTATTACTAAAGAACTGTTTTGACCTTTTCTTCCGTGCACATCAGTAAAATGTTTTCGTAGGTGGTATGCTGTAGTTTTTAAAAAAGAAATTTAGAGAACTAATTGAATTTTTTTTTTGGCATTTTACTAGAAATAGATTAAGAAATGAGTTTTCGTTCAGTAAACTTTAGTTATGTTCATTAATATCATATATTATTTTGTATTTCAAAAAATAATGCTTATTTTTTTGTATGTAATAATTAATTCAATTTTTGATAGTTTACAATAATCTTAATTTCTCTACTAATGCCAGATATGCAGTCTATAAAATCGATATGTAAACCGATACCTACACCCTTATTAAAAGTTTTCGTAAAACATCTACATACGTATTTATTTAAATTTTCTTCCTGGGTCTTTTAAGCAATAATCGATAAAAACTGTTACCATTTTTTTTTTTATATCTAGATCTGTACATTAACATGCAAATGTGGCAAATTTTCAAGGATTTTATTTTACATTTCTTTTGTATTTTTGTTTCACATGTAAGAATATACAGTGTTCATAAAATAATTAATAATGGTAGGTAATTATTATGAATTGCGATTGTAATTCACATATTTTTTCTTTTTGAAGAACTCATTTTTATTAATGAAAAAACATCCACTTGAGAATTGGTTTGATCAACGCACTTTTTTTTAAGTATTTGTTAACATAAGTGACTATCAATACTTTCCTTTTTAATTAATTTTTTTGTAAAGGCGAAAGCTTTCAATAGGGATTTATTCAATTTTTATGATAAAGTTGCCAATAATGTTTTTTGAAAAAATAATGAAATTCAAAAAGTTTTTTATACATTTAATATATGTATTAAATTTAATTAATGTCTTTTAGTTTAAAAATATTTTTTCGTAAATATATTTTGGTAGGCACTAACAAATTTTGACACAGTTTTAAAATAAAATGGTGCAAGCTTAGATTTCGTAAACTTATACAATTCAAATTTGTTGATTTAGCTAATTTTTTAAGTTTATCAAGTAACAATTTTAATTTTTGCAGAGTCGTATTTTGAAAATCTTCTGAAGTTTTTATTGGGAGTCGTATTAATATGAAGTCTTGTAAGGAAGCTTTAACACGCCTGTATATCGCGTACAAACTGTGAAATATTTGAAATACCTGTTATGGCATTATGTGAAATTTTTACAAATTTTTATTTTTATATTCCGTTTGTGACAAAAAATTGAACCCGAATGTTTTCAAACATATATTTTTTTTTTTAATTGAATGTCAATAACATATAGAATTGCAAAAGGAATTTTATTTAAAATATTACCATGTGTGTTATATAAGCATACACGAAAGTCATGAAATCTATATGTAATACAAATGTAATACTCTAGCATGGATACAGAAGATAAATGTTTTGTAATAATATAAAAGTCAATAATATTCGAATATAAATTGTATAAAATGTTCGTGTATTTTATCCTGAATACAATATTGAAGTCATTAAATAGATTATAAATGAGAATTGGAAAATGAAAATATGAAACTATGAAGGATATTTATCTTAATCTTATATTATATGGTTTTTATAATGAAATGGTAAACATACGTTATTTAATATTGAAGTATTGTGGAAAAAGAATAATAATTATGTAGTTTGTTTTTTTCAAATATATTATTACGTTATTGGAATGAATAAATTTGAAAAACATAATATCGAAAATATATTTTTACAAAAATTAAGTTCTTTTAACAATATTTTTAAATATACATTTAAAATAGAAATGCCTGAATTCAGTTAAGTTACTTAATAATCATTTAGGAGTTTTGAATATTTTAACGACTAAAATTGCCCTTATTTAGCTGAAAGGAATTTACAAAATTTTAAATTCAGAGTTGGAAATTAAAATTTCGGTTTAAATTTTGAGCCTCCGTTTATTTTTCAATAAACTTATATTTTTTATATAAAAAATTTTTTGATATTCTCATCAATTTTATTTTCAAATTAATATTTTTAAATCAAGAGAAAAATTCCATATTTTGCAAAATAAAAATAATTATTATTAAATATCTTTTAATTTCAATTCGTGAATTAAAATTTTCACAAAAATTTTCAATTTCAATTTTCCTTTTGACAATATCTTTTTTAATTAATAAATTTTCACTGTAAAAATTGTGCAGGCATTGAGTTTGTTTATTACCTACATATTTATAAAATTTTTGCTTAAAAAAATTCAATAATCCTGAAGTGAAATATTTTAAAATTTAATAAATTGTTGTATTAATAAATTTATTATTAATTTATTATTGTTAATTGTTTTTACACTTGTTTTAATTAAAAATTATATTTATATTGTTAATTAAGAAGAAGTTGTTTTAAATTTCTTGGTAATTTTAATGATAAATAAATTATTGCGAATAAATAATTAACAATTAAATAGAATTATATATGATGGGTTATGTTATAAACACTTATTACTTTTAATATATTTTTTTAAAATTAATTCATTTTTGGTATTTAACTGAAAACAAATATTTTCATAAAGTAAAAATGAATAGCTGTATGCCACAATGTCTGTGGTATTTATGTCTTAAAATAAAATTTGAAAAATCTTTCTTAGAATCTTAAATAATTCTAAACACCTACATATACCCTATAGCCGACAATGGATATTGTGTGAAAGTGTAGTGCTTGTAAAATTCAATGAATAGTACAACAAGAGTAGCCCCAATTTAATGTTAAATTTTACATATTTCTTTTTTAAAGTTAATTAAAGGTTCTAATATCTTCTAAAGAATTTCGAAAACTTGTAACATAATGTTTTCTCTTTTTGTTTTTTTTTTGCAATTTCTTTTTGAAATTTTTAATTTTTTAATAAAATTTTTATTTTGCATTTTTTTCATTTTAGATGTTAATGAGTGTGAAATTAATAATGGAGGATGCGAACAAATTTGTACAAATACACCAGGTTCTTTTCAATGTTCATGTGAAAGTGGGCTTCAAATTGATACGATTACCGGTAACACCTGTATTGGTAAGTGAACTTGAAATATTATTTTTTCATTCTTTCATATTATTCTATATAATTGTTTTTTCTTTAAAAATATATTTTACTTTCTGTTTATTTTCTTAATAGTATTACCTTAAAAAATGAAGAACAAAATATTAAGATTTTTTACAAAAATCAGTGATTTTTCAAATTTAGCAAAAAAAAATTTTTTTTTTAGAATATTCGTTTCATTAATCAATCATTGAAATTATTTTTCTCTTTTTTTATAAATAAAAAATATTGTTCAATTTTTATCTTTATTGTTTTACGAAAAAGTTTATATTTACATTCAACAAATTCTTCTAATACTTCTGATACAGAACTTTTCTTTCTTCTATGATTTATAAGAGTACGCGTAATATTAGTCAATATTAATATTTTATTTGTAAAATGTATTTTTAGGCGCTATCAGTGCGAATCTATAGTCGATAGCCTAAAAAGTTAAAAATTGAAAAAAGATTTGATTATAAAAACAAATTTTTTGCTACTGGATACCTCAAAAAATCTGGAGGTGCCAGTAATGTATTTGGAAGTTCACGTTTAAATTAGAATATAATTATATATAATAAAAGTTAAGTGTAGGAATCATTCAACCAGTTTTTCTTTACTAAACTTTATTGTATAAGAATTCAGGGTTAAATATATTTTCAGTTGCATATAAAACATTCTTTACAGTAAATTTGTTATTTAGTAATTAATAAATCATTGCTTTGTAGGTTCGGAAAATATCATATACGCTATATGGTACATATTGACGGTAATAGGCAATAAATTGTTATTAATTTAATTTTAACAGAAATTTAAAGTAGAATAAAATTATGTGTAAAATAAAATTTTAACTAAAATGAAATGATATGGCTAAATAATCTTAAATTATGACAAAATTTTTCATTTCTACATTAAAGTAGAGATTTTTCATACATTTTTAGCACTTTTCCAAAAATTTTTTTGAAAAAAGTGCTTATTAGTTTCACTCTGTCCGTCCGTCCGTCCGTCCGTCCGTCCGTCCGTCCGTCTGTCCGTCCGTCCGTCCGTCCGTCCGTCCGTCCGTGGACACTTTTTTGTTTACAAAACTTCTACAGCCTTTAAGATAGAAAGCTGAAATTTCATACGTACATAGATCTTCACTAGAAACTTATTTCCGTAGAATAAAATTTTTACCTATCTCCCCCCCTCTAGAAGTTATACCCCCCCAAAACCCTAAAAATGGCCTTTTTTAAATATTTGTTGCAATGAAACCATAAGCATTTTTGAAATTTTGCAAACGCAGAAAGGCAGTGGCTTGCTTCCCCTAGCGTGATATACTATAGTTAAACTTTAGAAAAACAAAATGGCCGTTCAAATTTACCGTTATCTAAAGTCCTTTTTTTCCAAATTTTTGATGTCATTTTTCTTCTAGACCCCAGCCTGTAGAAGCTTGAAATTTTAGGAGCTTTTAGACATTAACAAATAGTTCATTTCGTTAGAAGAAAATTTTTTTCCATCTCCACCCCCTCTCAAGTTATCACCTCTTGAAATTTGTAAAATTTGAATTTTTGACACCTTATATTTCCAAAACCGCAAGCTTTTCCAAATTTTTATAAACGCAAAAAGCTAACGGTAAATTCCATGAAATTAAAAAATATAATTATTTCTCTTAACTCACACAATTAACCCTTAAAATCGAGCATTATGTTAACCCCTTTTTATATTAATTTTTGCTTTATTTCAAACACTGCACATATGCGTCATCCTAAATATATGCAATTCTAGAAATAGTTTTGTATATGAATGAAAATAATTTTAATAGTTTGATAGGTATACATAGACTGTATATAAAAGCAGAATTATCAGTTGTTGAAGGGAAAAGTGCTACAATACAAACCATTGGTTTGACCCAACTTTATTTTTTAAACGATAAGTTCCGTCTTCCTTTTACTAAGGCAACGTTAACGTTAGATGCTTATGTGCGAATATAATAATCACTTATTGAATAAAATTTTCGAATGTTCCCTATTGTCGTTCTTGATTTTTTCAAATATTTAATAATGTAAAGGAAACTTTTATCTTTATTTAGCGAATTAAATGCGTATAAAAAATTATGATAATATTTTTCATAGATATTTTAACACGCTTAAATATGACGATTATAAATTTTTAATTCTATATTTTTCGTAAAATTTTTTCTCTCTATGTATACAAAGATGTTGTGAATGTTTATTTAGCTAGGTGAACTTTTATATGTTGTTATACAGTGTTATAATAATGATATTATTCTTATGTTTTATCTCTTTTTATTTGTATTTGTTGTTCAACAACTCAAATGGCAGGCAGGTGTGCATGATATGTTACTTTATTATGCTATTTAAATGTTTTGAAATCAAGGAAAATTTTTCCATTTTTTTTTCTGTAGAGTTTTTGCATCCCTTTGCCTATCTTCTTTCTGTTTTGTTTTTTTTTACTATATTTCATTTAATTTTTGTTTTATATTTCATTTTTTATATATTTAACTTATTCTTCCAACTTTTATTTTCTGTTTCCATGTATGTATGTACGTATGTTTGTGAATTTTTACCTTAATTTTAAGTGTTAAAAGTGTCTTGTATGTACATATCATATTACTGTATAACTTTTTTTTTTTTGTTATACTTTTAATCTTGTTAATTTTTATTGTGTCGTATACGGTTATACTGTTATGTTATGTAATTTTCAGAATCTTTATACCGTTACCATAATTATGTGTGTGTTTTAAAAGTAACTTTTTTTTTGTTATGAAAAATGTTCATGATTGTTTATTTTATTTGTTTTGATATTTTGTTATCCGTATGGTTTAAAAAGTTATGTAATTTAAACGCTATGTAATAATAATTGTTTAACATTTAAAAAGTGTACCTGTACAGATTAGTTTAATGTTTGTATGCCGTTGTTTTTGTATTTGTTATAATATTTGTATGATGTGTCTAAAAATTTTTAAAATAATATCTTTATTAATACCTTAGATTATTTAAAGGTTTATTCCAAGAAAAACAAAAAAAAAATCTAAGAGAGAAAGAGACAGAGAGAGAAAAAACCGAATTATATAATACCAAAAATTGTTTTAAACTTTATCCCACATAATAAGTACTTAGGTATATAAAAAATATTTGTTAAATAGAATGAGACAGAAAAACTGATCACAATTAAATATTGCAAAACATACCATTTAAAGGTGACATTAAAGCTACTCTGGAGTATTTAAAAGTTATTTTTTTGTGGAAGCTTTTTAGAGACTATATCTTGGACGGAGTAAAAAAGGAGGAGTAGTACCTCTAGTAGGAAAGGAGGAGTAAAGTTAGTTTGAAAGCAGTAGTTAATATTAATTGAATTCTGATAGAATATACAGTGTCTGAATTTATAGAATAGAATATACAGTTACAGGTATGGGAAAAATTAATGAGTCCTTTAAAATATAATTTTTTTTTTCAATTTTTTCAAATTGCCTTTACACCAATCCATGACTAATTATATATTTATTCGATTAAAATTTTTTAATATTTCAACAAATTTGTGAATAATATTTTGAATAAATCTTCAATTATTTTGGTTATATTTGTATATTTTCGTATAATATTAAATTTTTGTAACTTATAACATTCACGTATTGTAATTTAATTTAAAAATTTAACAAACTTTCATTTTCCTTTTTTTATTATTTCTCACATAATTCCTATAAATGTATAATTAACTATACAGAAAAAAACCAAAAATAAAATAATTATTTTTGTTGTTATGGTTGTGTGAAATAAGGAAATTTTCAACACCATGTTAAACAATTTTGGATTCACGTGCTTTAATTGTTCTTCTTAATGTGTTTATAAACATTTTTAAACACACATGTCTATGTAATCTATTTGTTTAAACTTCTTCATCACGTAAACTTCACAGTACAATTATTATTCTTTTATTTGTACATGTGTGTGGGTTTTTGTCGTTTTGATATTTTTGTTATTTTCATCCTTCAAGAAAAAAATGAAAAAAAAACAAAAGTTACTCGTATATGTAAATTAATGTTAAATTATTTTCAGAAAGTTGGAAAAAGTCATCATTGTAATAATAAAGTAGATAATTTGCAATTAATAAAGAAGGATATGATAAAATTTTGAATTATATTACGTGTGAGATCTTTTTTTAGAATTTTTTAAAATACATTTAGGAATTATTTATAACATATTGTGTCAAATTATTAAATTTTTATTGTGCCTAAAGCTGGTGAGGTAAAGTTCGAAAATATTCTGTCGATATAAGAAATCAAGTCTCTTTTTCCAAAATTTCCAAATAGGTAGGTCTATTAAAAAAAAAGGAATTTCCGGTGTACATATTGGGTTTGCAATAGGATATAATCAATGCTATAGATTAAATGAATTTATTATTAAGTTTGATAAATTAAATGAAAATTATCCCTTTCAATAGTTACAAGAAGTCAAGAATTCACAATATGTACTTTTAGTTAAACTATATGAGTAGTAAAATTAAAAAATTTTACAATATTTTCAAATGAATACATTTTTAACCTCTTCCTACAAGTTTTCGAACAGTCGTTAATTTGAAGTCAAAGAAAACCATATATGAGAGAAATTTCATCGGTTTTTTCTAACATGGTTTTATTATACAACTTCCATTAGAACAAATTGTAAATTTATCCGGTTTTCTAAGTTACGAACTATTCTCTCATAGGGCTCTAGTCCAGATGAAAGCACATTACGTATTTCATTGCATTAAATACGATCTTAATCTGTTTTATTTTCCAAAAACCACAAAAACAAAAAATAATAAACAACTCAATAAAAAATTAAATATAACTGTTTGAATAGTATTTTTAAGGCAATTAATACTTTCACAAGTAAAATAAATTTTATTAAACATACAGTTTATTATTACGAATATATACACATATGTACATATTTACATACATTTGTAGGTACCTAAGAGGATAATTAAATTCTCTATTCGCATACAATTTAAAAAAGAAATAAAGTACTCAATAAGACAGGAAAAGCAAAAATCAATAAAAAATGCGTTATATAAAAAAGGATACAAGGTAAAATAAAAAAAAAAATGAAAAAATTAATGAAAACCAAAAAGAGAAAAAGAAACGTGAATCCGCCATAACATCGATGAAAATATTTTTTTTTTCCGCATTGAACATTTTAAAATTTAAACCGGCGGAATAAAAATAAACCGCATATCAAACGTTTCCCCCCTCTCTTCTATCTTTCTTTTATATATACTCTCTTAATTTTGTTTTAATACTTTTATTTATTTTTTCCTTCTTTTTATTATTTTTATTCACATTTAATGCCTTTTTTTTTATTTTTGGTTTTATATAACTTCCACCTTTATTCTGCTTACGAAAAAAAAAAAAATATTAAACTTTTAAAATAAAATTAACGTGTACATATGTATTTGCATACACTCACACACAACCAAACATAAAAACACACACTCCCACGTAATATATAATGTAAAAATAAATTTGTCATTTTGTACATCTGTGATATAATGGTGTATTATTTCAAACCACACTGTCACCACATCATCGTCATCACCATCAACATTATAATCAATATCAACATTATTTATCATCATCATTGTCTTTATCATCAATATAATCATAACCATTATCATCGTTATCTTTGCACTCACTATATAATAATATGTAATTTTAAAATATACATATTGTATGTACAACATGATCACATCATCATTGTCACCATCATATATAATGGCAATTTATATATTATTATTTAACACTTATATAATAACATGGATGTGTATATACGTTGTATTTTTTAATATATAATTATAATGTATGTATGCCATTATATTGTGCAAATATGCATATTTTTATATTATATTGTTATAATAAAATCATCATATATATGTATGAATGAATATATATAATGAACAAAACAGATATTAATGAATGTTTATTACGTAATGGACATGGTCCTTGTCAAGATACATGCTATAATACATTTGGTAATTATATATGTACATGTGAAAATTTACCTGGAACAAAAATCTCAAGTGATAATCATACGTGTGAAGATGCCGGTGAGTGTAATAAAAATAATGGCGGTTGTTCTCATAAATGTTTAAGTATATTAGGCAGAGTATATTGTCTTTGTCCTGATGGTTTTGAATTAAGTGATAATTGGAAAACATGTGAAGGTGTGTATTGCTTTTTTTTTTCTTTTAATTTTCTCTCTTTTTTTTTTTATTATTTCATAATAATATTATTATAATAATAATCTATTATCCGTTAAGAAAAGGGGTGATATAAAAATTATTATTTTTATTGTTTTTTTGTAAAATATGCAATTAACGTTTTTAAAAGAGAATAAAAATCGCAACAATAATAATAATAATTTTATGTATAATTATACATAATATTATGTATTTTATTATTTATTATATAAATTTTACAAAGTGTTGGTATATGGATCCATTTTTAAAGGCAAAAGGATTTTTTTTCTGCAAATAAAGTTTAATTGTGTTGCAAATGTGAATGATTGTAAATGGAAAGTTGATTTTTTAATATTACCTATTTTATTATAAGGATTTTCATTATGTTTGTGTGGTATAATGAAAGAGTACTAAATGAATGCAGTATGTAGTACGTATACAGTTGAATTTAGATAACAGGGATTATACTCTTGGAAAATGGGAGACTCGAAATATTTGTTTCCGTTTTAATTCAATTGTTTTTAAATTTAAGCGGTAATTTAGTTATTACACAGGATATTTGGAGGTTCAACTGAAACACTTAAAACCTATTTTATAATTTTAAAATACTTTTTAAGAGTCACGTCAGGAAGATATTTTATCTATTTGTTTTTAACTCTTTCTTGTACATATTAATTTAACCATGGATACTAAATTTTCTTAAATTTTTTTTTTCGAAAATGGCGCCCTGCTAGCACAGCTTTACATAACATTTTTTGAACCTCGAGCTTTTAACTTGCAACTGAAAATAGTGGGGTAAATACTTATTCATAATCACTTAAAAGAAAATACTTCCCCATAATCACATAATATTTGCCAATCGCTTTTTGTTTAATTCTAAATAGAATTCGCCCAATAAAGGAAGCTAAAATTGTAATTTTGTAAAAAAAATTATAATGAAATTTATAAAGGACAAATCAGTTTTAAATATTCTGATAGTATGTATAGTGAAATTTTTTTTTTAATAAAACCCCAGTTTATAAAAAAATTTGATATATTTAGAAAATAAAATACTAAATGGGTTCAAAGACAACAAATTGTATTAAATTTTTAATTATGGTAATTAATAATCAATTGAACTTTTGAAAGAACTGTAAATTACCTTGTGATCTTAAAGATTGCTTAAATGTAGAGTACTTAAATCGTATATTAACATAAATGATATGTTCTAAATATTAAAGCACTTGAAACGTATTTTGCACAATAAAAGCCTTGAATTTTCATTTCTTTAATGAAACAAGCTAATTAGTTTAGTCGCTTTGATATTTTTTTTTGGTTAGTGAAGAAAACATTTGTTAAAGTTTTATAAAGTGAATATTATGATTTTAAAAAAGTTTAATATTGTAATTTATTTTCCACTCAGAGCCCTGTGTTACCGCCTCTCGATATTGACAAGATTTCCATATTTGTCTACCTTATTCTTGATTTCCATATTTGACTATCTTATTTTTGATTTTCTTATTTTTGAAAATTTTAAGCATTTCTAAATTTCCAATCAAAGTAAAAAACTACTGCGAATGCCTCGCCATCTAACAATGTAAGTTTAAAATTTGTTTTATGGAATAGCACTTACCAATAAGTGACCATATCACTAGATAACTACTTTATTATTATAAAAAATTTACAATTCAATTCATAAAATTTTTGTTAAGTTAAGAGAAGTTGCAGCAATAAGATTTGTGATTTGAAAACTTTTTTTTTTAATATAACGTATTTTGATATCTTCCAACCGCAGCATTCCAACATTCAATTCAGTAATGCGATTTGGAGTTGAAACTTTTATAAAATTTATGTTTTCGCTACAGGATGAGTTTTCTAATTACAAATATTTTTATATTTTTATTCATTTTTCCTATATTGATTTCAATGAGTCAATCATCTTTTTATACTCTGCACTTCGTGAAGGGTATATTCATTTGGTATAACCACTTGAAGGAGTCGTCTTCGGTATTGACAAATATATATATTCTTGCTCAGCGTAAAATTCTGCGTTGATTTAGATATGTACGTCCGTTCGTCCGATCGCATGATAACTCAAAAATGAATAAAGCAATCGATACCAAACTTTCACAAGTTGGTTCTTTTGCACAAACGACGGCTACTATTGTAATTGGGCCAATTCAGACAACGGGTTCGGTTAGTTGCCATACTACTCCAAGAGTTTTTTTTTTTAAATATTTCAAAAACTAATAAAGATATCATTATCAAATTTTGCAAGGATGTATCCAATTACACTCTACATATGCATATTCTGAAAGTTTTAATGGAATGGCTGCACTGGTTCGGGTAGCTGCCATACAACTCCAAAAGCTAATTTAAAATATTCAAATTGTACCTGTAATTGTACACGAAACTTGCCAAATGCGTGTACAATTATAAGTAAGACATATCCATTCAGTTTCTATAGAGTGTCAGTTTCGAAAACTTGGTATATAACAATGAGAGCCAATTCTAGATATTTCATAAACAATTTTTAAACTCAAATTGTTAACGTACAGGGTATAATTCGGTCGGTTTATACAAACTGAAACGTTTTTACTTGTTCCTTTTTCTTTCCTTCATTTTATTTTTGTTTTTATCGGCGTACTGTCATTGCATTGCAAATCATTTGAATTCTGTCAAGTGGTCGTAATTGATTTGAGGTTAGATTGTCTGCAAATAGTCTTGTGGTTGATGAAAATTTCATTTATTATCTTGAATATAGGAAACTTTATATTTGTACATAAATATGTAGAAAAACAATAACGGGAAAAGAAAAACAAGCACACTGCAATGAAAAATTAAAGTTACAATTTGAAAAATTTTTATTTGTTTTTTTTTGTTTTCAATGATAATTTTGATGAAAAACTCAACTCTCATTAACAAAAATAGAACATTCAAGGACTTCGATAAAAATTTAATATTTTTTTTTTTGGGGTTTTTTTGTTGCTTTCTTTTTAAAAATAAGTTTGAAATAAGGGAACAAAACTTTATTTTTTTTTGTGAGTTTATTTTATTGGGAATAGTTGAATTTTTTTTTTTTATAAAACTAAAATATTTTTGTTTTATTTGCAAAATGTTCAGAAATCATTTTTGAAACGATGCGATGCATTCAGCAGAAGAAAATTAATAAATTTTTTGAATTTTTTTTCTTTTTGGATATTTTAAAGTTTTGAATTAAGTTTTCATTGAAATTTAATAAATTTTTCTTCTAAAAAGTTTCTATATGAATTTTTGAATTTAGTTTTTTTTTTGTTTTTTGGGAAAACTTTATGAAAAAGTTAAGAATAAAATTAAAAAATTTTATGGGATTGAATTATAATAAAATATTTTAAAAAGTTTATGTTTTGTATAGACTATGAAAATTTAGAAAACTTTTAAAGGATTATGAAAAGGATAAAAAATAATTTTTTTTTTTGAATCGACACTTGAAAATTTCGGGTTTATTTTTTTGTAATAATTGCACTTTGAATGGCTTATATATGTATGTATATGTATAAAAAAGTTTTTTATTAATGAAATTTAATAATTAATTTTTCAAAAAAAAAAATTTCAATTCATAAAGGAGAGTTCATTAATTTTGGAATTTTAAAACAAAAATTGTTTTTTTTCATGAAAGATAATATTTGAGTCTCAATACAGTGCAATCTCTAAGTAACAAACTTTCATGTAAATGATTTATTTCGTCTGAACCAATTTTTTATACCCTGCACTTCGGGAAGGGTATATTCATTTGGTATGGAGTTTGTAACTACTTGAAGGAGTCATCTGCAGTAGGGATATATATATATATATATATATATATATATATATATATATATATATATATATATATATATATATATATATATATATATATATATATTCTTGCTCAACGTAAGATTCTGCGTTGATTTAGCCATGTCCGTCCACCCGATTGCACGATAACTCAAAAACGAATAATACAAGTGAAACTAAACTTTCAGAAATTGTTTCTTTTGTGCCAAGGACGGACTCTATTGTTATTGGACCAATTTGGCCAACGAGTTCGGGAAGCAGCCATACAACTCAAAGAGTTTATTTCAAATATTTCAAAAACTAATAAAGTATAAATACTAATAAATATACTAATAAAGTATAAATATGAAATTTTGTATACATGTGTCCAATTATATTCTACACATGCTTTAAAAATTTTAATCGGATATCTGCACCGGTTCGGGTGGCTACCATATAGAGCTATTTAGCTTGTTTTTTTCTACCTCTTCTCTAATTCAATTTAAATATAAAAAATTGACAGTAAATATTTTACCTTTTATAATTTTTTATCCTAAAAGTCATGCAATTAGCCGACGAAAATGATTTTCATACAAAAACAACTCCTTTTAGTTTTTTTTTTTCTAATCCTAAAAGTATGCAATACAAATGATATATTTTAGAATAATTTATTAAAAATGAAAAGCATTCAAATTGGTGATTTTAAATATTGTAGTCGTTTTAATAAATTTAAGAGATATTATATCGGAAAATGGAACATTTTTATGAATGAAAATTTGATATTCGAAACAAAAAATTGAAATTCTCTGGGAAATAACCCAATCACAACTACAAATAAGGGTTTGTTTTATTTAAATCGGGGACAACAGTGTAGCTTAGTAGCTTTGTTTGATTTTTAATAATGATTTCTTTTTTAATAAATAAATTCTTTTCAGGAGTTTCTTTAAAAAGTATCAATCGATTAAAGCAGTATGCGGGATCGAATTTACTGTGTGAGGAATTTCAGAGTAATATTATTACTGAACTGAATGCAAAATTTATACTTATACTTACTCCAACTGAAGGGTCCGCATCTAATTTGCTGAAGAAAAAAAATTTATTATTTTACTTATTTCAAATCCAATGCTATCTGTGATATGCAAAGGGTTAAGAACGTTTTATAAATAATGCTGAAGAGTACAATTAATATATCTAATATTCGTATGAAGTTTATTCAGGAAACAAAATCAGAAATATTGGGTGTTAAAGGTGCAAATATTTGCCATAGTGTTAAGTGAAACTAAAAATCATAAAAATAATTTTTTTTTTTGATTGGATTATAAAAATTCATGAATTTTTATAATCCAATTTTTACGGAATATTTTTTTCAATAATCGTAATGAATGGCTTAGAATAAATTATGATCTTTGACAACTCTAATCCTAATATATGTATATGTAGTAACGTTATTCATTTAATTGAAAAATAATTATTAATAAAAAATTAAAATAATCTCGTTGTATTGCATAGTTACGCTACGAATATTTGCCGAATAATGTAAATTGTACATTTTTTAACCGATAAAGAGAGATGTGTACATACAACATCATGTACTCGTATGTAGTTAGGTATATATATGTAGGTAAATTAATTATCAAGTTAAAATTCTATGATAAAATTGAAAAATTTTAATAAATTTTTTAAACGTGACACTATAATCTATGCATAGTGGCAAATATATTGAAATTATAATGGAATTTTAATTGATTTTATAAAAATTAAAATCTACTTTGATAACAATACTTGAATGAATTTTTTTCGTTTCATATTTCTAGAAAAAAAATAAATTTTTTTTATTGCAATTTAATTGAACAGGTGATATGAAAGGTATATAAAAAAAATGTAATCAGATCAAATTCGCGTTTTAAAGCTCAACAAGTTCAATATGAAAAAATTTCATTATAAATGTATAAAATAAAAACTTTTTCATTAATTTATTTATTACATTTTTAATTTTAACAATATGTGACATTTAATTAAAAATGGTCATGTGTTTAATTTTATTTTTGTTTTGTGTTTGAATTTAAAAAAAAAATTAAAGTTATTTTTGATTCTTTCATAATATGCACATATTTTTTATAAATTCATCTAAATCATTCAGATGAGAAAATTAAATTTTAATTCTTAATATTAGATTTTAAATTTTTAGCAAAATTTCTTACTAAATGTACTACCATTTTTTTCTCTATATAGCAAACCATTATATGTACCTATAATAGATGAGCAAAAAATTAAACATATAGGCTAATACACCGAAACCGGTAAATATTAAAATGAAAAAATCATTACTAAAAGCTACTAATTTCATAATCTTCTGTAACACTTTCGCACTAAACCATTGTTATCGCGTATGTACTTGTATTGTATATGTATTTACACGGTCTGTTAACGTATTCACACGGTCTATTAAAATTCTATTAAAAAATAAATATCCCGACTATTGCCCTAAATTTAAAACTCTTTCAAAAATTAAGTTAATATATTTTGCATACACACATATAAAAAATTTTAAATCAAATTGTGTACATACATGTTTACATACATTATTTTCAATAATATTTGTTACATGACGTAACATCACGTTTCTTTCAAGAATTACTCGGGTTCTTAAATATGTAATTTAAATTCAAACTATTGGAACTCGGTGTATAGGTTGAGTAATAGCAATATATAAAATTATTTCATTGTTGATAGTTTTATTTTAAATACTAAAATTGGATAGGTTGTTGTTTTAGTCCTAGATAAATCTCGTTGTACTCTACTTCAAATCTTGCTAAAGAGCAAAAATTCAAACACTTACATATTATATAGCATAAGTGGGTTTTGAAACTTTTATTCTTATATATTATAATTTTCTCCACTATATTAATAGATTTAAAATGAAGTACGTATTTGAAGATGGGAAAAATTATTTCAGTTAGGACATAAATTCAGGAGTTTAAAGCTAATTCAGAATTTCTTTTTTATACTAAATTCGATGTTGGTAATATATGTATAGCAAACTGCGATACTAACTAGTTCAAATAAGTTTGTGAAACGAGCGCTGTTCCATTTAAGTATTAAATATTTTCCATATTCCTCAGCAGGAAAATAAACAATCGAAATCCGGTCATGTTTTATTTTCACGTTCAACGAAATACCAGCGTTTTGTTGCATTTTATGCATTTAGAAAAAAAAAAATGGTTGTACCATTCATGAACACCATGCTGAAAACATTTGGAAAAATTGAAAAATTACGTTTTTCCTTTTGCTTCTTGCACACATATACACAAATATATCCATGCATATGTACCTTACATTGAGAACGATTTTTTTGAAAACAATATTATAGGATTGTCTTTTACTGAGGAGTTTCAAGTGGAGGTTGTTATTAAATTTAAAAAAGCAAAATTTGAGTACATTTTTTCATTTGGTTTTTTTGTTTTTTTGGTAAGAAGCTTATTGCTTCTTAGTGTTTTATTTTTCTATTCAATGATGTTTTGTATGTTGTCATAGGAACTTAAAATATTTCAACTTGATAGTAATTTTAATAAAATAAAGGCAAAATTCTTTAAAAACATGGAAACGAAATTATAAGTTTGTTAAAATTACGTTTTGATTTCAGAAATAAATGTGTACGTATTTTTTATGTTTTAATGGAAGCAATTTAATGGAAACAATATTATATAAAAATATAAAAAAAAATTACTTCAACTTGGTTGAATATTCATAAAAATAATCAATTTTTAAGCGTTATGAATTTGGAAACCGAAAATTCAAGACAGATGATAAAAGAAGCTTATTTGCCCGCATAGTGAAATATCCAGTTGGATTGCTTTTATAGGCACACTTAAATGTTCTAAATCATTAAAAGGAGGAAAACCCGCGTATTCCATTTAAATGACTGGGGAGTTTTAACTTGTAGGGAAAGGAAAAGAATTAAAAGAACTATGTCTCGAACTTTATGGTTTAGGAGGTGTAAAAAGTGCAATCTACAACCAATAGTAAAACATGGTTTATAACCACTAAGTTAGAGTTTTAAGCAAAAATCAAAATTTGGAATGTTATTTTGTATGAAATTTTGGAAATGCAAATGCTGAACTGAAGCTCCGGTAATATGTGCTTTATAATAAGCAATTACGGTTTAATTAAATTCCATATACTATTACATAGGGACAAACAATTCTCAAAATATAAATGAACATTTATGCTATGTGGTTTTAAAGTTCCTTTTATTCGGTGCTAATTTGAATTGAACCAAAAGGTCCCAACAAAATGCTTAAATTCAATAAATTTTTTTTTTAAAATCTTGATAAAAATTATCAATAGAAGATTTTATACAGGTATATCCTTGCGATTATTTAAACCATTTCGTGTAAATCCTTAAAATAGAAGAAAAACAAATTGCATAGGGAAAAATGCTAATCTGTAAATACATAAAAGCATAAGCCATAATTATTATTAACATTATAATTCTGGGGAATACAATAGAAGAAGACTGTAGAAGTAAGGTTTTCAAATTTATAAGGATTCATAATTTTTAATTTTTTTTTGTTGTTTTTTTTTTGGTTTCACTTAACGATTAGAGAAAATACGCGATAAGTAAATAAAAAATAATGTTTTTTTCTTTTCAACACGGATAATAAAAATTTTTTTTTTGCATCAACGCTATTGTGCAGCAACATAAAAGCTTTTCCCTTCAATTTTCCTGCTGTTGTGATATTTATAACACTGCTATTCATTTCTTTGTATTTCAATGCCAAGAATATTTTAATTATTTTAAAGAAATTATGAGATTAATAATTTTAATAGGATAATTAGTTAACATAATGGCATAATAAGGAGGAAAAAATAAAAGAAATGAAAATGATTCATGGATTACAAAAAAGACAAAAAATAAAAAATTTTAATGGAAATTTTAAACGCGATTTTGAAAATATTTTGTGGAATTTTGTGAATTTTTTGTACATAGGCTATTTCTAATTTAAAAATATTGTACACACAAACATATATAGTGGGTATATAATAATGAATTCAGAGTTGAAAGACTAATGAGAATTTATTGTTAATGAATTTTAGAGGAATAAAATATATATTTAGAGATTTCAATTAATTTTATACAAAGTGTACTCCAGTTTAGATGAGGGTAGCTGGTTGCTTTAACTCAAATGATCAAAATATGCAGTAAATTTTTTCAATTGCTCAATAATAAAAATTTTTCGATTTTAACAAAATGTAAAGCAAATGTGTAGCGAGTAGAGCGTTATGTATAAGGAAATTGAGAAATTTTGAAGGCAATGATGGTTTTGAAGGCAAAGCCATTTGTATACATAGGAATTAAAAAGAAACTAAGAATAGGGAGATTACTTTTCTAGTTAATTTTTTTTTTAAAAATTAAAAATTTTTTTGCTTGTATAGAATCAGTAACTGGAACTACATGCAGCAGGAGCTAAATTCATCTGTTAGTGTGTGAATGACTACATTTCGAATAAAGAGATGAGTTCTAGAGATTTTTAAAATAGTTCTAAGACAATTACATAGCTAAATGTACCTAAATTTTCTTGTGATGTTATACGGTATGAAAACTAAAGCAAAACCCGAATTTCCCAGACAATACTTGTGTTACACTAACTAAAATCTGAGCTAAATTTTAAGATTTTTAAAGTACATAGTCTTTTTAGTATTTTAATTAGGCTTTTTTTAATGTAACCGAAGACATTTTTCTCAAAAATTAAATTTAAAAAAAAAAGTAACCTTTGAAACAAAAATTCTAAAATATTAAATGTAATTTTTTTAAACAAGACCATTTTTAAATTTAAATATTCCATTTTCACAATTTAAAAAATATAAAAGTAACAAAATATTTGTGCACCATAATAAAATTTTCTAAATGGATTCTTTCTGCAAATTAAGCTCGTTATAAGAATAAAAAATTTTTTTATTAAGTTACAGGATATTTGAAGTAATCTGAAACAAAGCATTAAAATTGTCTTTTTAATTTTAATTTTCTTTTTCATTTATTTTAGATATTAATGAGTGTGAAAGAGAAGAAATTTATTCGCAATGCGAACATGGTTGCATAAATTTTCATGGTTCATATAGATGTATTGAACCACCAACAACTGAATCATCAATATTAACAACAAATATTCAGAGTGAAGTGACTAACAATGAAATATTAGAAGAATCTCATTTAAATATAAGAAAACAAAATCATGAAGATGATGAAAATGATGATGATGCAGAAGAAGAAGAAGAAGAGGAAGAAGAAGAAAATAACGAGGAACGGGGATCAAACAACAAACATTCAGAAATACCAACACCAATTGTACAAAACAATTTACCAAGAACAGAAAATGTAATTGAAAATGATTGTGGCACCGGTCTCCGTAGAAATAATAATAATGAATGTGTTGATATTGATGAATGTGCTGAAGGGACAAGTGGTTGTGAACATTGCGAAAATGCTCATGGTGGATTCGAATGCACATGTCCTGATGGTTATGAATTAAATGATGATGGAAAAACATGTCAAGATATCAATGAATGTGAATTGTATTCCGCTAATGATGATTATACTGATGAAAATGGTAATAACGAACAAGAAGCATACAGAATTTGTTCACACGATTGTGTTAATGTAATTGGTTCATATCAATGCAAATGTCCAGATACATATCATTTACATATCGATCAGAGAACATGTATTAAAGATTATTGTGAAGATTTAAAAAATCCATTATTAAATAAATTACAATGTTCACATGAATGTATCGATGATCCAGATACTGGTTTCCAATGTAAATGTCCTTCTGATTATCAATTAGATAGTAATGATATGAAAACTTGTTTAAAATTATCAAGTTCAATTGCAACGGAAAATAATAAACCAACAAATCTGTTTGTTATTGATAGTAGTAACACTCATACCAATGATATTTCAATAAATTTGCATGATAATTCTATTGATAAGACTAAAGTACGATTAGTAGAAGAAATAGAAAGAGAAAATGAAGAAGAAAAAGAAGAACATGATAATAATGTTGATGATGATGATGAAGACGATAATGAAGAATCAGTTGGAACAAATCATATAATTGATTTAACTAGATCAAATCAACAAGAAGATAAATGTACTGAATTGAATGGTAATAATGCTTGTTATCCTGGTCAATGCATAAATGATGTAAATACACCTGAAGGATACAGTTGTGAATGTCCTCAAGGTTATGCGAAAATAGAAGGACGTTGTCTTGATATTGATGAATGTGCAATTGGAATTGATAAATGTTCACATTATTGTATAAATTATGATGGAACATATAAATGTTCATGTCCATCTGGTTTAACTTTATCATCTGATGATGATAAATCATGTATTGATATTAATGAATGTGAAGAAAATTCACAAATTTGTAATACTGATACAAATAATTTAATTTGTGAAAATACACATGGTAGTTATAAATGTATATGCCCAGAGGGACAACAAATTCAACCGAATGGTGAATGTAAACCAATTGTCGCAATATCAAATATAGATCCATGTACAATAAATAATGGCGATTGTTCACATATATGCAGATCATATGAATCTGCATCATCAACAAAAGTTATATGTGAATGTCCTGAAGATATGGAATTAAGTAAAGATAATGAAAGAATTTGTATTAGCAAAAATCCATGTGAAAATAACAATGGAGGATGTACACAAATTTGTAATCCAAATAGTAAAGTCGATGAACATTGTTCATGTAATAAAGGTTATATTCTATCAGATGATAAGAAAACGTGTATTGACTTAAATGAATGCAAAAATAATAATGCCGGTTGTAGTCAATTATGTAATAATTTAGAAGGTAAGTTTAATTTTCTGATTTTCTTTTCCACTTTTTTTACTAACCCATTTTAATATCTTATTTATTTAAGAAACTTTTTCATGTTTTACAAGCATTTTTAATGCAAATAATGGTAAAATGGAAATTTTTTTATTTTGGTTAAAATGGTTAAGTATAAAAGTAAGGATTATAACATTATTTTTTTCTGTACTTTCAATACCAAAATGAGAATTGAATTCATAAATTCATTTTCATAAGAAAAAAATAAATACTTTTTGCTATTAAAGTCGAACTAAAGTAGATTATTACCCTTTCTATGGTTATTTTTTTCATAAAAACAAAACATATCGCAGTTAACTCTCATAATATTACGTGAAGATTTCGGTTTTATTTTCGATTTTATGTAATAAATGTAAGAGATCACGTATATATTTTTGGTATTCTTTATTTGTTGCGATGAAATTGTTAGTAGAAGGATAGTAAATAAGGTGATATAAGTTTTAAATATCATTGGACCGGAAATTAAATGCAGAAATTTTTGAGGTTTTTCAATTGATTTTTTGTTATCGTATGGGTATATCAAAAGAAAAACTAAGTCCTATTTTATTTTTAAATTTAAAATTATGAAAATTTTTAGATGAGTTCATGTTTTTTATAAATATAATAATACACGTATAATAATAGTTTCATGGTTACTCTGATAAAATAACAGGAAATGTGATGGTCAAAATTTTAATAAAGAATATTCTTTCCGTTTCATGTATATTTTTTTACATGCTTTTTAGCAAAGGAAATTGAAAACGGTTTTTATCAATAATTAATTTTTACTAAAACAGTTTAATCGCTAAAAATTTCGTTACTTGTTTTTATTTTGCGATTTCCACTAGAAACGCTCTCTTCAGTAATATTATTTTCCGTGAAACTCCATAGTGAACCGTTCTAACCCTTTCTAGACCATACATAAAGTTAATGCGATATTTATGAGGTTTATTTTGAAAATTGATTTAATTATTATTTTTAAAGTAGTGGAACAAGAAAATAGTAGAAGGTTATTGGTTTTCAAAAATACGAACAAACTAAAAGTTTTCTTTATGACTTCCGTTTAATTGCTGTTTCTTTATTTACTGAACTAATGGTTCGTTACAATAAAAATTTCATATTTACTGTATCAGATCCTCTTGATCAGATAAGAGCTTAAGTTATTTTGAATTCAAATAAAAAGATAAAATGCTTAGCATTAATATTAACAGTTTATCGGAAATAATTTTTCTTGTTCTGATAAGTTTTTGGGGTGATTTACTTCAAAATTACAAATAATAACCATTTTAGGTCAAGGAACACTAATTAAAAAAAAAAAAAATTAATAATTTTTGCATAAAAATAACGGCTGTACATTTAGATTACCTTGAATAAATCGAAATGTTTTTAGCTTTTATTTATAATTTTTCATTTTCATAATTCATAATTTCATTATTTAACCAAAAAAAAAAAAAAAAAAAAACAAAAATAGAAACTTAAAATTCATAATATTCATTTTAATTCATATTCAACATTCATTCATTAATCCATTTAATTAGGTTCATTTGAATGCTTATGCAAAGATGGTTTTAAAATGCTTTTATTGCCAAATTTAACAAATGCATGCATCGACATTGATGAATGTACACTAGGTTTGGATAAATGTAAGGAAACGAATAGTATATGTATTAATACAGAAGGATCTTATCATTGTAAATGTCCAAAAGGTTTTGAATTAAATTTTGAACAAAATAAATGTATAGATACTGATGAGTGTGCTTTAAATAATGGAAATTGTTCACATATATGCATTAATTTGGTTGGAGGTTATCAATGTTCTTGTCCTATTGGTCAAATATTAATAGACGATGAAAAAACATGTGATTATGTTGATGAATGTAAAATCAGCAATGGAGGATGTTCACATGAATGTTATTATTCTCTTGGTGAAGTAACTTGTCTATGTCCAACAGGTTATGATTTAGATAATAGTCGAAAAAATTGTATTGATATAGATGAATGTTCCGTTAAACATGGTCCGTGCTCTCATAAATGTATAAATACAATTGGAAGTTTTCAGTGTTCATGTCCGATAGGCTATCAATTGGATAATAATGGACTAAATTGTCATGATATTAATGAATGTATTGAGAATAATGGAAATTGTTCACATATTTGTGTTAATTTTTTAGGTTCCTATAAATGTGTATGTGAACTGGGATTTATGTTACAAGCAGATCAACATTCTTGCCTTGATTTAGATGAATGCTCTGAAAATTATCATGATTGTTCACATATTTGTATTAATATACCCGGAGGTTATGAATGTGCCTGTCCATCTGGATATGAATTATCGGAACAAAGTAAATTTATTTGTATGGATATCGATGAATGTCAAAAAAAGTACAATGGTGGATGCTCACATACTTGTATTAATACTGATGGCTCCTACAAATGTGAATGTCCGGAATTATATTCGATTGGAAATGATAATAAAACATGTTTTCAACTTGACGAATGCCAAATCGGAGGAAAAGAATGTTCTCATGATTGTGAAAATATTATTGGAGGTGGTTTTAAATGTTTATGTCCGCCTGGCATGAATCTGGGTGCTAATGAACTGACATGTGTCGATATAAATGAATGTATCGAAATAGATAGTAATGGAGGATGTTCTCACTATTGCGAAAATACTGAAGGATCATATAAATGCAGTTGTCCCAATGGATATATATTAGGGGATGATAATAACACTTGTTATGATATTGACGAATGTCTAGATGGCAATGGTGGTTGTAATCAATATTGCATTAATTTTGGAGGAGGTTATAAATGCAAATGCTCCAAAAATTATATATTATCAGAAGATGAAAAAACATGTGTATTTCAAAATCATTGTAGTGAACATAACGGTGGATGTTCACAAATTTGTCATTCATTAAGTGATGGACCAAAATGCTTATGTAGAGAAGGATTTATTTTATCAGATATTGATAATTCAACATGCTTAGATATAAATGAATGCGAATATCAGAATACGTGTCAACAAGAATGTCGTAATACAATTGGTTCATTTGAATGTATTTGTCGACCAGGCTATACAAAAGATGCTCTTGATCAATGCGTTGATATAAATGAATGTAATTTTATGAATGGCGGATGCTCTCGTGAAGCTGAATGTATTAATATACCGGGAAGTTTTAAATGTAATTGTCCACAAGGTTATAAATTGGCTCATGATGAAAGAAATTGTTTTCAAATTAAAGATTATTGTTTCCCTTTGAAAGCACCAAGAAACGGAGACATTCATTGTACAAGATCAAGACATAAAACTCAATTGTATTATAGAACAAAATGTTCGATGTGGTGTAATCGAGGATTTAATTTAGAAGGTTCATCGACTAGATATTGTAATGGAACTGGAGAATGGGATGGTATTGAAAGTTTATGTGTGCGTAAGTATTTTCAATAATGTATTCAATAATTAAATAAAGAATAAGTAATTGGTTGAAGTAAAAGAATGAAAGTAGAAGGTAAAATTAAAATTTCTGTAAGTTGAAAACTTATGTTTCGAATTTCATTTCCATTTCACTTAGTAGCTTTAATGTTTGCTATATTTATATTTTCGCTTTTAAATATTATTTCATGAGACGTTTTTGTTGTCTTCAAATATTCACGAACCCATTTTATTGCGTAAATTCATATAATTTCACTTTGAAAAACACATACAGTGTCCACATTTACATTTATTTTATAATTGCTTTTATTACATATATATACATATATATGAAAATCGCTTCATTATAGACATACATACATTTTGCATTTTATCAATAAATCATTGCTCACAATAATAATTGAACTTTTAATTGTAATAATTGAACCTTTTGAAAATTACCCTCTATGTAAGCGAATCGAAGAAATTGAACTTATGACAACACTACTATTTTCCAACTTTTTAAAATTTTAAAATATTTCGCCTGAATTTTTGAATATGTAAAGTGCAATATTTTTTATTAAAAGTACTCTAGAATTTTCTACTGTTGGGAATTTTCACATAATTTTACATTTTATCTAATTTTGTTAATCTTTAAAAAAATTTTTTGTAAAAAATTATATGAAATTTAACAAAATTTATTTAAAAATTTGTGCTTAAAATTCTTAAAAAATGCAATATGAAGTAGAAAATCCATACTTAAAATTTAATAAACCAAGAATAACAAATCTTTAACATTTAAATTAAATACCTCAATTTTATTTGATAATTTATGACTAAAACAAATTTTAAGTGAAACAAGAATTGCAAAAGACAAGGAATACGCTAAATGCTCCAATTGCAATTATCAGTCGTTATGACCAGTTCGTATATTTCTCATACATATGTATATTCCAAATCCTCAACGCGTTAAAGCAAAAATTATTAAATTAAAATGATTCATCCTTTTTTTTTGTTCAAATTGTTAAAGTATAACCTTTTAGTGGCATCTTAATTATGAATGAACTCTACTATATCCCGTAGCCCAGATAATTCACACTTTTCTTAATTTATTTTTATATAATATAAAGTACAAAGATTCTTTTATTCCTCTCAACTTTATCTACAGCATGATTATATGTACCTCATACCGTTTTATATATGTATACAGAATAATTTTGCACAAAGGATAAAAAAAAAATAATATCCTTTAGTTATTACCGTATTTTAACTTTAACCGTATTTTAATTTATGTGCATTTCATTTGAAAAAAAAAAACTAGAAAAAATTAATTTAAATATTTTCTTTTTTTTTCATTTTTCATTCTACTTTTTTATACATAAAAAATTTATAGCTTTATCATGTCCTCGTTTACCAAAACCACAATATGGTACAATATTACCATCAAATTGTATTATTGGTAATATATTTAGTGGTGAACGTTGTTTATTACATTGTCCATCTGGTTATATACCAGCTGGAAAACGTGCAGCAATTTGCAATGCAGATAAAACTTGGTCAACAAATTCAACCTTAGAATGTATACCATTAAAATCAACTGTCACCGGCAATAGTGTAGATAATATTAACCAACATGCATCATCGTCATCGTCTTCATCATCATCATCAGCATCGACTGTTGTTTCAAGTGGAAATATTGATTCGAGTGGAAGTAGTGGTAGTACAGGTGGAATTATTAGTAGTAGTGGTGGTATAAGTAGCGGTAGTGGTGGTAGTATTGGTGGAAGTATACATACAGAAACTACCAGTAATATAAATCAAATACCAGGAATTAGTGGAGTTAGTATTCAACCGTATATAAAATGCCCACAGGATACAATTTTATTATTACCTGAAGGACAAAAAACTATATTTATAAGACTTCAACAACCAAAAACAAATGTTGATTATTTCAAGTAAGTTGTTAATTCAAATATTTTATCCTTACAAAATAATGTTTTTTTTTTTTTTTTAAGTTTTTAAATTTAAAAAAAGAACTATGTATAATACTAATAAAAAAAAATACTTTTTCATATTTTAGATATGTTGATTCACATCCTGAATGGGCTAAAAATTTAGATGCACATTTACCAGTTGGTGTTCACATAATTCGATTCCGTGCACGTAGTCCAAATTCAAATTCAAATGCTATTTGTAGAACAGTAATAACAGTTAAAGAATCTCATCCACCAAAAGTTGTTTATTGTCCACCATCCTATGAAATTCAATTAAATCCTAATGAATCTGGAAGATCAATTAAATGGAAAGAACCAATTTTTGAAGCAAATAGTCATTTAAAACAAATTTATAAATCAAAGGTGAATAATTAGTAATTTTTGAGATCAGAGATTTACTTCCTACATTCTTCTGTAATATTGGTATTTTTATGTTCTGAAATAATATTCGTTTGTTTCTTTGGTAACACAAAATTATTTTTTTCAATTCTCTAAGAAAAATCGGAATTATCCTTTGCAAGCAACAAAAAATTGCTCTTTATATTGTTTTTTTTCCCCTTTTTTATGCATGTGCTCAATTATTATTACGTTTATGATTTCAGAAATTATTAACGAAGAAGATTTTTTTTTACTGTGAATTCATTTTCTTTATTATTCAATTAAAGAATTTAAATTAATATTTTCCATTTTGCAACTTCCTCTTCCGTTCAAAACATAATGAAATTGTAATAAACAAAATATTTTTAATTGTTTGTTCGGTAGAAGAATTGCAAAATTACAATTTTAATTTAGTGGTTTATTGTATATAGTGAAAAAAAAAATATTAGTCGTAAACTTAAAAGATAATTGTGTGGGAAGCGAAAAAAATTACAATGTAAAGTTTTTGAAATCATTTTAATTTCAATTTTAATTTTATTATTTTGTCTATGCTTTTATAAAGTTAAGAAAATGATTCTGCCTTGCGATATTTAATAAACAAACAATAAATTCATTTTGATTTGGTAATGAACAAAAATAATTTTATTTAAGAATATTTAAAAAAAAAACTTTAAATACGTCTTGTCCAAGTGTTGATATAAGATTTCTAATAAATTTCATTTAAACAGGAAATTCGAAAATTTCGGAAATACAAACTTTAAAAAGTTCGTATTCTACTTAAAATTATAAACTATTTCATAATTTCGTGCTTTTATTATTAATAGTGTTTAAATTTTTTTTTGCAAAATTAATTGATCGTATCTCAAATTTTTAACACCATTTGTAACATATTAAAATATTAATCATTAGTCATCCTAATTATTATAAAGAAAAATTATTTTTATTATTTTTATTTTAGGCACCCGGTGAAGTTTTTGGACCAGGAATACATAATATTCTTTATATTGCAACAGATCGAGATGGTCAATCATCAAGATGTGAATTCAAATTGATTGTCAGAGGTAAATGCGAAATTGAAAAAAGTTTGCACATTAAAACTATACAAATTAGATTAAAGTTCATCGGATTAAAGATGATGTATACATTTAAAATTATATATTAATGTAGAGCTATGGATTTAAATTATCAACTTCAATAACAACAATTGAAATATTTTTAAAAAATATTAACGAAAGAACAGTAATCGATTTTTAATTACTTGCACTGGAAAGGTGGGATGTAGATTTTCGAAAACTTACTAATATTATAGTTGATTATAGCTTTATATTTATGTGGTTGATGAGCTGATTTGCTATGATCTTAATCAAAACAATTTAAGCGGGATTTAAATCAAAACAAGTCATAGTATATTAATATTAATACTTTTATAAAAAAAAATCATTCTATTATTATTTTAATATTTTTCATTTCTATAATTTTATACTTTTAGCTAATGCTCATAGGCAAACACCATCTGTAGTAGGAACATCAGGCGGTCATTATTCAAATGCACAACATCATCATAAAGAACAACAGCAACAATCACAACACCAGCAACAATCACAACATCAACAACATTCACAACAGTCACATCAATTATCAGGATCTTCATCATCATCATCATCATCTTCATCATTATCATCTTCTTCAACATCAGCTGGTAAAGCACGTGGTATTGTAACTGGTGTTGGTGGTACTTTCCAAGCAACCGGTTTATTAAATCATGAATCATATTTAATATGTGCTGGTAAACCAGCTATGAAAATTGAAACAAATTATCCTGTAAGTAAAGTTCGATTTTTTTTTAAAAATTTAAGAAAAAGTAAATTTAATCAATATAATAATAATTATAATAATATAAATAATAATATTTATAATATAAAAGATAAAAAATTATATAACAATAATACAACAATGAGAAATGATAATTTATTACAAAAACCACCAAGACATTTGATTGATGTTTATCATTGGTTGGTTTAATAGCTAACCAAAAAGGAATATAATTGCGACAAAATAATCATTTGGGGAAAAATAATAATAAATGAATATTTTATTTGACTTCATTTGACATAGTATTAAATTATTTAATAGGCTATTATTAATTTATCCTTATATTGTAATAATAACATGAGTAAATTTAAAATAACTAATTGCTATATTGTAGTGATATTTCATAAAAATGTTAACAATAGAATTAAGTAGATTATATACAAATTATGTTTTATTTGAGCTAAAATAATTATTTAAAATGATAGAAGAAAATTTAAATTAAGCTTTTAATAAATAACAATTGCTGTCTTTTATATAGTGCTAATGGCACAAAAATTATGATTAATTATTGTCATTGTAACAAAATAACTTAAGCTATTTTTCTTATTATTAACGATTTTTCAAATTTTTTTTGAAATTTTATCATGATAATTAAGTGTGTACATAAGTAATATATTTGATAATATAGTCATTAATTATGTGCAAATGTATGAATTTATAGTTGAAAAATTGTGTATTATGTAATAATTTGTAAAATAGTTTAATTCAAATAGAGATGACAAATTGCTTGACTTTTTTACATTCACAAAAATTAAATGTTTAGTAGATCCTTATAAAACAAGGTAATAAAGAATATTCTTTTTTATATTAACAAATTTTGTGGAACAATATAAGTTATCAGAATATCGATACCATTTCATTTCAATATTTTAAAATTCTTTTAAATAATTTTCTAAGAACAACAGAAAATTAAGTTCTTCCATTATTTTTCCTTACCGTTGCAAAATGTTTGTTAATTCAGAAAGTGAAATTATTTTAGCTCCAAATTAAATTCAATTGTATAATGTTTTCTTAGAAAGCATGCTTCATTAGTTTAATTTTTATTTTTATGTATATAATGTTAGATTTAACTCACGACAATTTCTAACAGCTACTAAGTTGCATTAAACTAAAACTTTTTGTGTTCAGATTTTTTAAAATTCATATCAGTCACAAAGTGCGTTATATTTTAAAAAATTTCGCATCAGTGTAGAAAATTAATCTAAATTCATTGTGTATTTAAATTGTAATTAAAAGAAATTTACAAAGATAGAATAAATAGAAGCTACAGTGACAGAAGCTACAACTTAAATTGTGCTTTAAATACTTGTTAATTTTCTTTTGTATTGTGAAGAAATCACGTTTTCTTTTAACAGCTCGTTTAGTATTAATTAATTTTAATTTTATTTGGTACTCACTCTCTTTTCTCTAAGTAAATGTTTAGAGATCTCAAAATTTTGTTTTTTTGTATTATTTTTATTCACTTGTCTTAGTATAAGTTATTACTTTCAATTTTGTGTATGTACTCTTTTAAATTTTTTTTCTTTATTCTTTTACTCTTTTAAAATTTTTAAATTCTTAAATTAAATCAGTATTAATATTGTTTTACCCATTAATTTTCATTTATTTTTGTGTATTAATAATATTAAAATTTAATTATTTAAAAATTTTTGTAGATCACATTGTTTAGGGCAAATGCAGTCTTGTTTTTAGCAAAATAATTGCACGTTATAAAATTTTCAGTGTTATTTGAAGGGAACAGTAATCGGATAAAAATATAATTTCCAGTTTCTTGAAAAATTTTTTTTTTAAAATTTGTAGTTATTTATGAGAGTAATTGACCATTTTTTTTGATGAATGACAATTTTCTAGTCTTTTCAACTTAAAAAAAATTTCTGAGTTGATCACTAATAATTTCGCTGCTTAAACTTAAAAAAAATTTAATAAAAAAATTTATAAGAAATACAGAAACTTTACGATTGAGAATGGCAAGCTAGTAAGAAAGCTAGTAAGGGTGGATTAGTGTATCAAGGGAATATGTTATATTATTTGTTAGTCTTCTAGTTTTACTTTGTCAATGATTTATACTGCGCATTGATTATCATACTTTTTAACTTTTTAAAGAAAATATTATTAAGATTAATCATAATAGTAGAATACTAACCAAAATCATATTTCAAATACTTCTATTCATATTTTCTAATACCAAGTTCTACACCCTTTTTAATCTGTTTTCCATTCTTATACTATTTTCTCTGATCAGCCAACAAGAATAACCTTTTTCAATAATACAATGTTACAAAATTATACAATGTGGTCGACCATATATTTTTAATATTATTAAAATTAACAATATAATTGTCTTTCATTATTTATTTAAAATTTATGTAATTAATAAATTAATATTTCATTCATAAAATAAAAATTTTTTAAATTTATTTGTTTTTATTATTATTAAACTAAATAGCAATTACTTATTTAATAAAATAGAAGATTTTTTTTTTAATTTAATATTAAAAATATAATAAATGTGTAAAATTATATAACGATTGATTAAATGTTTATAAATAAATTTTTAAATAAATTTAATATTAAATATTTTTTCTTGTTTTTTGTGTTGTCTTGCTTTTTTTTTTGTTTTGTGCACGTAAAGAGAATTTTTTAAATTTTATGTGTTTTGTCATTTTAATTTTATATGTATTTTTTTTTTATTTTTTATATTTTGTATGAATTTATAAATTTTTTTTTTTTTTGCAATTTTAATGTTTGTATAAAATTTTAATTATTGTTTTGTTTATTATATAATAATTTTAAAAATATATATATTTTTTTTAAATAAAAATAAATAATAAATTGAATAATTGTTTGTTTTTAATTTGTGTGCTTTCTTTTTGTTTTGTTCGTTTTTTTTTGTTATTTATTTCAACCATTAAAAAAGAGTTTGTCCAAAATATTTTAAATAAATATGTGTATTATATTAAAAATTATATTATATTTAGAATATAATTATAATATATGTATTATAAAATTATTATGGTAGGCTTGTCACCTACCTAGTAAAACACTCAGTGACGCAAAAAATTGCTTTATGTTCATCTGCGATATTATGCATGAGCCCTATTGTCCTCTAAGACGCGAAGTAGGATACCCAATCAGTTTTTAATAAAAAAATATTGTAAACTATATAATATTATGGACAAATATATTAAATACGTAAATAGTATTATTGATGAACTCAATCAATTTTTGGATATACACTGAATTTTAAAATCATGGATAGTAAAATATACATAAATCTTAATTTTGTCGGAATACAATTAAATCTTTCTACATTGTCTGATGAACAAAATTCGTTTTATAATCCCCGTTTACCAAATCAAATGATCTGCAGTTAATTTGACGTTCTTAATTTTAAATCTAAATTTTTAACGAATGTAAGAATTTACTTAATTCACTTTGTTCCATTAAGTCAAAAACAAACAAAGTTAACACTAACTCGACATATTTTTTGCAGACAAAAATTTTAGTATGAATTAAAAAAAAATAGGAGAGAAACATCAGAATGTTAGTGGAAAATTATTATTATTTTGAAATCAAGAGTACACAGCTAACTAAAGTAGAATTGGCAGTCTACATTATATATTTGCTTACCAAAATGTTTAAAAAAGAGTAGATTGCATATTCTGCGTATTTTGCAGTTCCGGCAGACGCCCAATATCCCCGAAACTCATTTGAGACATATTTTACGTATTGAAGTAGGCAGTTTAATTAAAAAAAAAAAAAGAAATTGAAAAAATTAAATTTTCTCCATTTTTATAATTTTAAATGCAAAGTAGTTTAATCAATTCCGAATGTAGGTTTAAAAGAGTTAAAATATTCTTAAATCATTATTTTTCCCCCATGATTTGTAATAAAATATTTCATTTCTAATATTTATTTATGATATTTCTTAATATTAATATAAAATGTTTTTTATTTTTTTCTCGTTCAGTTTTTAATTACAAACCTGTTTACAATAAAAATGTTTTTATAATGAAAAATTTTAAAATAATTTTCCAACTTTTATATCGAAATCTATAAAATTGAAAAAGCAAAAAAAAAAAAATCCCATAACTTTGTTAAGTAAAATCCATTTATTTAAGTACACACTTACTTTTAATATTGTATTTATATCCTCGTTTTAAGAAGTTATTTACTTTTAAAAGTAAAAATTAATTAAAAATTTTTTTTTGAAATGAAAATCGCAAAATCATTAAAAAGTGAAATAAAAAGAGAGATTTTGTTTCGTTTCGTTAAAAATGAGGCAGATGGTAGTGTGGCAAGAAGGGAATGAAAAGAAAAATTTTAACACTTGTAAAAAACAAAGAAAAGAAAAACATAATCATCGTTAAATTAAAAAATTTCATGGCTTTATAAAATCGTAAAAAAGCGTAACAAATTTTAACTCCTTAAATTACACCATCATTGTTTTTTTTTGTTACTCCTTTCATTGCTGCTCTTTTGTTTCGTGTAAATTCTTTAGCAAAAATTGTTTTTGTTTTTACCATTTTTGATTCTTTTACATTTTTCCCAAACTTAGTTGAGAAATTAAAATGTTCTCTTTTTTTATACAAAATCGTATTTTATCGTTTTCCGATTCTCAGAATTTCAATATTTTTACGACAAATTATTGAGCTGGTTCATTACTTAGACAATTTTTATTTATTGTGTTTCGTTCGTAATGTTACAGCAAATGTTTAAAGAAAGTTATTAAATTATAAAAAAAAATTTATTTCTATGGATACAATATTGACGAAGGTACATATTTCAAATAGAATTATGGTGCAATTGGGTGCAACATTTGATTTTTTTGTTAAAAATCAGTATTCATTTTCATTAGTATTATTTAGTTAAAATTTGCACCATACACAAAGGATTTAACTAAAGGGTAAATTAGGAGGGTATTTTTGCGCCTAATAAAGATTTTCGGG